TACAATGCACTTTTAGCAGGTAAAAATAACTAGTTTTATTCTACGTTCTTATTTGTGAGATTCAAAGTAACTATTACAAGACCACTGAAACTTTTCTAAAACGTCACTGGTAGTTTATCGTGAATGATAATCAAATGAGATTCTGATTCCCTAATATCCCATAGCACTGCGTAACTACTCACATTTTTCATCGTCGACATTTGGCCCAGCATGGCCAGGTGGTTAAGGAGCTCGACTTGCAATCTGCGGGTCGCGGGTTCGAATCCCTCCTCACACCAAACATGCTCGCCATTTCAGCCGTGGGGGCGTTATAATGTGACGGTCAATCCCACTATTCGTTGGTAAAAGAGTAGCCCAAGAGTTGGCGGTAGGTGTTGATGACTAGCTGCCTTCCAAATTAAGGACGGCTAGCGCAGATAGCCTTCGTGTAGCTTTGCGCGAAGTTCAAAAACAAACAATCGTCAACATTTGACCGAATGAACTTAACTGAAGACTAGTCGTGATTGAAAAAAAAAAAGTGCGCCAATGCGCATGCTTTTATAGGATTTCTCATGAACTATTGTACACTGCAGGGTTACAGTCGGAATCATTACAAACTATACATGATAAGTTTGTTTTGTTTGCTTAAACGATTTGTTTGTTTTGTAGTTAAGCACAAAGCAACACATAGGGCTATCTGTGCTCTGACCACGACGGGTATCGGAACCTGGTTTCTAGCGTTGTAAGTCCGCATACATACCGCTGTGCCACTGGGGGTCGACATGATAAATAGCGCCCTATGTTTAGTTTTGAATGGAAATTCGTATAGAAATATTGCTTCCATTTTCCCGATGATTTTCTGATTTTGATTTTCATCATTCTAAATTTAACTTGCTTATTTCTAGTCTGGTGTATTTAACAGTATTTTTAACTCTTCAGTTTGCTTGTATCATATTCTATTCAAAACTGAAGATACTAGATAGCGTTTCAGTAAAATTCTTTTTATCACATATTGTGTCTTTGTCCCTCTACTTTTAGTCCCAAGTTATTCTACTTTGAAGGTATACAGAGCACAAAGAATGTAGAAAAAAAATCCATACTAGGCGCCCCCACATTCACTGCCGGTTCAGGCCAATGAAAAGAGCAGCCAGCTAGGTCAGCAGACAGCAGAGTATATTTTAGGCACGAAAATCGTTTTATTTCTAAGTTTGAGCGTGCTGGACCATGGATCCAAGGGTTCATGGTTTGTGTCTCTTTACCGTGGGTGTATTGTAAGAGTGACAGTGAAATTGTACTATTTGATTAGAGTAGACCAGAAGTTGGCGGTGGGCGCTATTTATTAGTTGCCTTCCTTCTATCAGTTGAAATTTAGCGAGGGCTATAGCAGATAGCCATTGTGTAGCAAACAGTTTCAAGATGTTCTATTATCAGTGCATATCTTAAATTTTGCCGATTTCGCGTCTTCAAAGGTCACTCTTCAGAATATAATTTTACCAAGAATCTATAAGAAAAATCTTCAAATACTGTTTTCCAACTAAACGTAAATAAGCTAAATTAAATACACATATATGTTCCAAATGTTCAAATGTATAATACACTCCTTGTATAAATTAAGTACATTATAATGTTCATAAATAAATAAAATTAAAGTTTTTCCAATGTATTTTTCCCCTTTTTAATGGAAATCTTATTGTAATTATACTTTCTATGTATCTGAATTAATGTACTATGTATTTAATTTAGATTATTTATGCTTAGTTGAAAAACGGTATTTGAATGTTTTTGTTATAGATTTTCAGTAAAATTATATCCTGAGATATTTTTTTGTAGTCAAGCACAAAGCTGTACAATGAGCTATCTGTATCGAAACCCGGTTTCTAGAGTTGTACGTCCGCAGACGCACCGCTGTGCCATTGGGTGGCTTATTATGACCTTGAAAGTCATGAAGGCCTGGCATAGCCAGGTGGTTAGGGCGCTCGACTCTCAATCTGAGGGTCACGGGTTCGAATCCCTGTCATACCAAACATGCTCGCTCTTTCAGCGGTGGGGTCGTTATAATGTGACGGTCAATCCCACTATTCGTTGGTAAAAAGAGTAGCCCAAAAGTTGGTGGTGGTGATGGCTAGCTGCCTTCCCTCTAGTCTTACACTGCTAAATTAGGGACGGCTAGCGCAGATAGCCCTCGTGTAGCTTTGCGCGAAATTTATAACAAACAAACAATAAAGTCATGAAACCGATCGAATAAATTAATAAAGGTGAGGAGAAACAGAAGAGTATAATATTGTAATGTTTTGTTCTTCACATCCACAAGTGAAACTTAATTGTATTTTGGTTATATATATGTATTTCCTATAAGTTTGATGTAATAAGAGTAACTGCTGCATCAGATCTATATAATACTTTAACTGCTCTAAACAGGTGCGGATTGGGACGGCGGTTCATCGAAAATAAACGTTTTTAACTCTATTTAAACCAAGTTTAATTAATATCGGTTGCCCAATTTATCGTTAATAATTTGTCATGTAGATGGGAAATAAGCGAGTAATTAATTACATTAATCTTTTAAAAATATTTTATGTGAATTAGTATTAGTATTAGTATATATTTTAATATATATTTATATTTTACTAAGACGGGTAATAAATGTAGTAAACGTTGGATTATAAATAAAAAAATGAGTACAATGTATTTTTGTTTAATATGTGTGAACTGTGTGAATAATATCAATACATATTTTAGGCTCAGGCCCCCCAGTGGCACAGCGGTATGTCTGC